TGTTGCCATAGCAACCAGAATTTTCAACATAGGAAGATAAAAAAGGATGTGCATAATTTCCATACTGCCATCTACCAATATGTCAAGTTTCATAAACATATTTTCAGTACTTTTTGTGTTATCACTGGATCCAGGTTATGTGTAAAATTTGCCATATTTTCAGTCTATTTGTTGCCATAGCAACCAGAATTTTCAACATAGGTAGAAAAGAAAAAGACGTGCATAATCTCCATACTGTCATCTATCCATATATCAAGTTTCATAAAAATATTTTCAGTACTTTTTGTGTTATCGCGGGATCCAGGTTATGTGTAAAATTTGCCATATTTTCAGTCTATTTGTTGCCATAGCAACCAGAATATTCAACATAGGAAGAAAAGAAAAAGACGTGCATAATCTCCATACTGCCATCTATCCATATATCAAGTTTCATTAAAATATTTTCAGTACTTTTTGCATTATCGCGGGATCCAGTTTTGTGGACGGACGGACTGACGGACGGACAGACGGACGGACTGACGGACGGACAGACGGACGGAGGGTAAACCTAAAGTCCCCTCCGGTAAACCGGTATGGGACTAAAAATAGTTCCCAAGTCAGTGGCCTGTGGTCAATAAATTTCTAACTACCTCATTTTAATTTAGTAAAATGAACGTTTGAAAGCAGTTTTTGCCAACGAAAAGTTTTGTTTAATTGAAAAATATTAAAAAGTTAACCAGCTTATAAAAAATCATCACATTCTGTTCTGCTCCAATACTGCTAGGTGACCATATGCTTTTTTGTTGAAAAACAAAGTAATAAAATTATATTTATCAAGTGTCGGGGTTATCTATGCGTCGGAGTTATGTCTCCGACCAGTACTGGTTGGAGACCACCAAAACCGGACAACCATCAAACCCGGACGACCCAGAAAATGCTTAATTTAGTATTTTCTTTGTTTAGTGGATGTCAGTCACTTTTTTACCAACAATAAATGTTTGTTTCTTCTATAATTAAGTAAAAAAATTTAAATTTTTAAACCCCTCCGAAAACTGGTAAATTTTAATGTCTTTTTAAAAAAAATGTTGACGTTAAAAATTTGGGGGGCCCCAAGGAAACCCAATGCCTGCCCTCTTTCCAGCTATAAATAAATTTGCAGAGTAAAAAATTTAGAAAAATCCAAAATTTAGCTTTTTGTTGAAAGACAATTTTCCTCAGAATATAAGTTTTAAAATTTTCAAAAATAAAAAAACAAAGTTTTTGGGTTAAAGGGGAAGAACCTAGCTGAACTGTGTCAAATTTTTAGGTCTCTATGTTAAAAATTATGAAATCTGTACGGAAAAATGTTCAAAAAGTGTCCGGTTGATGGTTCCCGACCAGTATAGTGTACCCGACCAGTATAGTGTAAAGCTTACACTTAGCATGTATTTACACTATGTTTCTGTAAGGCATATGATGTCACATCAAAATATCAAAATGTTTGTTCACACTTAGAAGCACATCAATGAATACCTAAGCCTGAACTTGTTTGAAATGATTTAACTAATATTTTAATTTAAAAAAAGTCACAGCCCTATGACAAGCTTTCTAGAAAGGATACTTATTAAAGGAATCATATCTGCAGGTGCCTTATTAGCAAAACACAAGAACCTCAGGAAAATCTGACAGTTCTATAAATTGTAAAAACTGTATATCAATAAAACATAATTTATAGATTTAACTACTGTACATTTCAGGCACTTCACCATGCACTCTTGATGTAAAGTACTCCAAACTTTGGGATTATGCCCAACAAGTGCACTTTTCCCATCATTCTCAACCGGTTGGTCCAATATGTTTTAGGACACCAAGAATGTTCCATGTGTTTGGTGTTTGTGTAGAGGGATCAGGTTAGTTTGCCCATAACATTTTTTGACATATTTTTTCATGTGCATATTGTAAAAACTTGTTTTAAAATATTATCAAGGTAGATTTCTATATTATTTTTCTTGTCAGATGTGTTCCTGTGCCATGAATTTTATTATAATTCTCCTATGCCATAGTATTTTCAGTTGCAAAAAGAATATTCAGTTAAATAAAATCTTAATTTTAAGTATTATTTACTTAAGTACTATTTATATCCTATGCAAACTTTTTAAATTTCCAATTTATATGTATTTTAGGACTTCATGGAAGTGTTAGTCTCAACATGCTTGGTACTTTTATATCTGGAAAGTGAAAAACAATGCAACAGGTTGCCTAAGTGTACTGTCTTGAAGTCATCAAGATATGGGCACAATATCCTACAGCTTATAGATGATCCAGAAAATCCCTAGGAAGTCATTTCTTAAGTTAAGCCCTCAAACTGTTATCCAAAATACACTACCATTTTTTGTGCAAGTGCAATGGAGCCAAGTGTTATAACATGTAAAGAATATATTAACTCTGTGGAGGTAAAAATGTATTTACTGAAACAATTGCCTCCCAGAAGTCTTTTTACTGAAGTACAGTAATGATTCAGCAAAGACATTAGTATCTATTTGAACAAATTGGGCAGTTCTTCAAATCTGGACATAGCTAAAAATAATGTGTTGGCCAAAACCAGTTATCCCGAAAACAGAAATAAAGGTTGGATATTGACAATTATGTGAAAAAGGTGGAAAGAGAAAGAGCAGTCTTTTACTCTTGAGTATAATTGGAGTTCCTATAACATAGTGGTCATGTAATGGACTGTCATTATTTTCTTCATTTCAAATATAGCTTATGATACAAATAGATGCTTCATAAGAGAAGACTGCAAGTGTGTTGCATAACTGGTGCTCTAAGGACTAATGCTATATTAACAAGTGTGTGGATCATTGATGCATAGATATTTATTTAATGGGCTGCCTATATTATTTTTGGATGTCAGTTTTACCAGTTTACTAATTTCCATCATTTTTACAAAATGTTTATTAGATTAAGTTTAGTGTAATACAACATTTGTCATTTTACTCTAAGTTATAGAATTCTATTGAACCTATGCATGTTATGAATTGATCAACTGTCAAACTGATCTTAAGCTTTGATCTAGATTGAAAATGACCTGGTATGAAAATTTGTAAAGTAACATTCGAGGCGTTTCAGTATTGTTGTCAAATTTTAAAACATTTTATAGTTGTAGAATATGAAAAATACCTTTATCTATAACAATGATAGGTCAGTTTGAATTTTTATGTTGATATTAAGTTGTAAAATCAACATTGTAAAATTATCACCAATCCTTAAATTGTTAAAAAGAAAGCAGCAAAAATCATAGAAAAATTCAATGGTAGCTAGGCAACCAATATTCCCCTTCAGTTGGGAAGGATTTTTTAAACAGGTGCATCATGATAAAAAGATACTTTATATGTTTGATCACATTGTAAATAATTGAAAAATAATCATCACTAAGTTATAAAATCTTTAAAAAATATAGAACCTTAAATGTACCTGAAAGTAAATGTTGTGAACATGATATTAGAAGTATCATTTTTGATTTATAATATTTAAGGAATGGTGTGGCAGGTCTGTTCTCTGAATACCTTATTAAGTTCAGTTACACATTATTTGTGGTATTGTTTTCATTTTTTTATAATAGCACAAATTGCTAATTTGTAACTAAGTTGTAATCTCCTGTATGCCTGTAAAAATTTGGAAATTTGAAATTTTTATAAAAAAATAATAATTATTCATTGGGTTGCTAAGCAACCCTAATTATATGCAGAGACAGTTTTAAGTAAGTGGAACATTTTTTTGTAGGAATTATCTTTCTTATGTCATATTTAATTAAATATAATGCTAGTTAATCAAAGTTCCTTACTTTGTTGTGAAACAGTGTAGTTAACAACCAGATGTTACTGAACATACTTTTAATGAAATTATGTATATTATCTATATAAATTCAAAAAACCTATAGTAAAGCGAGTTTAAGGATACTTTGATCCAAGAACTATTATTAAAGATTGTATTTGCAGTTTTTTAATAGTTTGTAATTTATTTTTTGTAATCATGCTGCTTTGTTCATGGTATTTTGAGATCATTTTTTAATCAAACTTAAAAATTTGTAAATTTAAAAAGGAAATTATGGAAGATTATTGTGGGTTTGCTTGGCAACACTGACTAATTTTTAACTTATTGCTTAGGTATTACAGCAGATAGATTATTTAAGTAATATGGAAAAGTAACAGTGTCACAGTGATTTGATCAAATGCTTATTGGTTATTGTAAAACATACAGAGCAATATTACATTGGCAAAAATACTGAGTTACTGCTAAAATTTGCATGACTTACTAACAACTAGTCAAGTGTACAGAACATGGATTGTACGTTATATCTTCAATGGAAAATTATTGAAAAAGTAATTAATAGGCATTGTTTATAATTTATTGAAAATTTATTTATTTCTGCTGCTTTGTTAGCTGTATTTTACCAAAGAAATTTGAATAATTTACAAAAAAATTACAAAAATTTAGAAATATTCCATGGTTTGCTAGGTAAACAGAAATATAGCTTCCCCTTCATGTTGTATTTGTGTAATTATGCCCTTTATTTAGTGTTACTACCTTAATGATGTTATTACTTGAGTCATCTTTCATTTACTGGTTGTATTAAACTGTTGTCTGCTGTCAGAGTAAATATCTGAATAAAAGTTAATAAATGAAATGATAAATGGACACTGTGTTTAGTTCTGTTTGAAGTTGTTTATGATATCTCTCAACAGTAATATGTCCTGTTAAACACTGTAGAAATGCAATAGAACCATTTTCAAATGTGAAAGAAGAATATATTTCGTATTTGATACTTGCAAGTTTTATAAAAATAAAAACCTAGCACCATTAACTTTTTTACACGAAAAAAGGGCCAGGAAGAACCCAGGGGAATAGGTCTGGGTTGCTAGGCCCACATAAAGTGTAAATGAATTGCTTTTAATTATGGTGGCTGTATCCAAAAATATTCCTACAAATTTATTAACTTTAATAACATATAACAATTTTTTCACAAAAAATTCATTTTAGCTTCAAAATAGTTGTTTTCCTCATTGCCATCCTTTAAACCATCCACAAAGATCAAAGATTTGTATATGTATTTTTAATTACTTACTGGACACCATACTCACAAAAATTATGTATATCTTTGTAAATAAGAAAGACACGACCTTCAAATTTTCAGGAATTACTTCTGATATTTCATAGATTTAGAAAATTAAAAAAAGTGAAAATCAAAAATTGGTCAAGAAACCTCATTTTTGCATTCCATGACACATATATGGTATGTGAATAGTTGAAATAGACGTTTTAAAATGCATTTCGGTAGGCGATAAGCTTGATTATCAAGCGTTTTGTCCGGTCTATACCGGAATATGGTATTTAGAGTGGTGGTCCAACACTTCTTAGCCTCTCTCTATGATTAATAAGGTTTAAGGGTTTTTAAATCATTCAAATGCATGTTCTTGGTGCAGGTAAGAACACAAACGTGCGTTTTATATTTGTTATTAAGCAGTCACAACACATTCATACAGAAGGCTAATAATAGAGCAGAGTTACGTATATTTACTAAGCATGCGCAGTTAACTTATAAACTAAAGCAATGGGGGAAGGTCTGTACTTAGTATGTAAATCAAATACTGTTACAATTAAAGCATCACAAGTTTTTTGCTTCAGTATTGCTTTTAACTTTCAATTTTATATAGCCAAGATTGGGCAAATGTCCAGTCAGTTTTCTCAACCAAAAACCGTAAGGAATGAAAACCCTTGCACAAAATACAGCGTGCGAAAAAAAGAAGAAGAAGAAAAGAAGAAAGTATATATTAATCTTAAGTTTATTATGGACGTTATACAAAAAATACAGATGATTATGATAGTGTAAGGAAAATTTTTTCCCAGATTTTCAATTAAAAGGGTATGCGGCGAAACAATAGGTAAAGTTCATGTTAATTTCAGAATTGTATAGTTGATTTAGATGGAAAAACCCAGGATTATATACAGGTATGCATACAACCAGTCCTAATGTTCATGAAGGGATTTCAATAATAAGAAATTTTGGCCAAAGTCTAAAGATAATAAGTTTTTGGACACAATATATAACAGAACAGCAAATGTCACCTCTACGAAAATAGCGCAAAATATGACTTTCCAAAATCCAAATGACCGAGTTAAACGCGAATTTAAATGCAACTTGTTAAGAAATGATTGACGTTCTTTAAATAACTTTATTTGTACAGTTTTTATAATTTCTTGAATAGTTATATAAATAAGTGAATCAAGAAGGTTGCCTGTGTATCACTACGCTCCTACGTCGTTTACGGGACCGCCGTTGATGAACACTTTTAATTTGTTGTTTTTTTTTACCTTAATTGAAAGTTCATTGGTCCACATGACTGTAATTTTAATCCGAAATAGAATTAAATTGTAACTCAATTGCCGTTTCAACACAAATTTACAATTTTAACTGCAAAAAACGAATGCATATAATACCCACAATTTTTCCTTTTTGCAGAAAAGGCTCGGTTTTGCTTTTCGCACAAAGCAAAAAAATTTTTTTAAATACATGTAATTAAAAAAATTTTCACCCTTTTCAATTATTCAATTTTTTGTGTCTTTTTACACTGAAACGGGCCCATACTCGATAAAACATTTTTAAATTTTAAAAATTTTGTTGAACACCTTTTATGGGTTCATTTTTTACCATGAAAAAAACAGCTTTTTTTTTCTTTACACGTCAAAAATTTTGGTTTCCCTTGTTATCTCTTTTAAAACATAAAACATCCCCTTGACAAAAAACTTTCTTTTTTGAAGTTACATAAAAAAAAAAAAAAAAAAATTTTATAATAACAAAAAAGGAATTAAAAACAAAACTCATTTGCCCATTTTCTTTCCCAATATAAATTTAAAATGTTATTTTTTGTTTAAAGGGGAAAAAACAATTCCATGAAATAGAAATATAACCAGAGGCAGTTATTTCCCTTTGGGACAACTTTCACTTTGCTTAAATTTATTTATTTTAAATTTAATAACATCACTTTTCCCCCAAAGTAAAAATGAGTTTTTAAATTTTAAAATTTAAACCCAAAATGATTTATTTTTTTATTTTAATAATCGAAATGAAAACATTTTATATAAAACTAACACAGTAATTTTTAAACCCTTAAAGGCAAAAAGTAATAAACGTTTTCCAAAATTTACAGCAACGTACGTTAATCCAACTTTGCCGCGACGGGTTTAATCAAATTTGCCAACAGAAGCATACTTCTACTTTATCCAATGCCAACAAATTTAAATACTTTACGGCTTAAAAAAATTTCCAAACCCATAAGCTATACAAAATGTTTTTAATCAAAAACTTGCCAACAAAAACATAGGGTACTAAATTTAACCCAATTTCCAAAAGAAGCTTAAAATATACAGTTTTAACCAATTTCCCAAAACAAACTATATTTTACTGTTTTACCCAAATTTGCCAACAAACTATCCCATAGTTTATATCCAACTTCCAAACAAAACTAAATATAATTTAAATTAAAA